CAGGGACCGTCTGGTCTCCTGACGCAGGGAATGTCTGGTCTCCTGACTCAGAAACAGTCTGGTCTCCTGACGCAGGGACCGTCTGGTCTTCTGACACAGGAAGTGTCTGGTCTCCTGACACAGGGAGTGTCTGGTCACCTGACGCAGGGTCCGTCTGGTCTACTGACGCAGGGACTGTCTGGTCTCCTGACGCAGGGAATGTCTGGTCTCCTGATGCAGAAACAGTCTGGTCTCCTGCCACAGGGAACATCTGGTCTCCTGATGCAGCGAGTGTCTGGTCTCCTGATGCAGCGAGTGTCTGGTCACCTGACGCAGGGAGTGTCTGGTCTCCTGACGCAGGGTCCGTCTGGTCTCCTGACGCAGGGTCCGTCTGGTCTCCTGATGCAGGGACCGTCTGGTCACCTGACGCAGGGACCGTCTGGTCACCTGACGCAGGGACCGTCTGGCCTCCTGACACAGGTAATCTCTTTTTTCTGAGAGCGGCTGTACCTTTTCCAGTTTTCTTCACACTGCATGGCTCTATTTTCATCACTTCTCTCTGTCTTTTTTCACTTGCGACGCTGCATGACTAATGTGATTAATTTCTACCCAGCCAGCTTGAGCTGTGAGTGCAAACTGCTGAGATTCACATACTGTCCTGTGACTCATTCACTCCTCATTTACTGCAGCTGCAAACTTACTGTTTCCTAAACACTGCTTTCATTTAAAAACTTTTTTTTCTTCCTCCTCAATGAATATCTCATTTTGCATTTATGTAGCACCCTTAAGAGAATGGGATATAGGTGCAGAAGTAAGCCATTTAACTCATCATAGGGAGGGTTCAGAAGAGATTTACCAGGATGTTGCTGGATATGGAACGTTTGAGTTAGAAAGAAACAGGCTGGGACTTTTTTTTCACCGGAGTGTAGGAGGGTGAGAGGTGACCTGGTAGAAGTTTATAAAATAATTTGAAGCATAGATAGAGTTAATGGTAGTTGACTTTTCCCTAGAATGGGCGGATTTCAAGACTAGAGGACACATTTTTAAATTGAGAGAAGGGAGATTTATAGAAGATGTAAGAGGCTAATTTTTTACAAAGAGAGTGGTTTGCGTGTGGATGCAGGTACAGTTACAACGTTTAAAAGACATTTGGAAATATACATGAATAGGAAAGGTTTGGAGGGATATGGGCCAGGAAAAAGCAGGTGGGACTAGTTTGTAGAAACAAGAACAGAAGTTGCTGGAAAAGCTCAGCAGGTCTGGCAGCATCAATGAAGAAAAAATCAGAGTTAATGTTTCAGGTCCGGACACCCTTCCTCAGAACACTTCCCCAGTTCTGAGGAAACGTCACCAGACCCAAAATGTTAACTCTGATATTTTTCCTCACAGATGCTGCCAGACCTGCTGAGTTTTTCCAGCAACTTCTGTTTTTGTTCCTGATTTACAGCAGCTACAGTTCTTTTGGTTTTCATT